AGAACAAGGCCTGTCATTATTTAAAGTACCCCCCAATTCGCCATCCGATTCGTCTGATTAGGAATGTTCTTGTTCAACGTTGATGTTGTCACAGAAATAATCTAGCACGAGATCATTCCACTGTTGAACACTGGCCGATGCAGACAAATTACATGCTGTCAAACCGTTCATACATTTCGCCACGGTTTGCTCTTTCGAAAGCGCCATTGAAACAAGGGAGGTTTGTTTACTAAAAAAACACAATTTTTCTTAAAATTGACTACAGTTTTCATTCATAATTGTATAATTTTATGTCTGTTGACGAAAACTAAAGGCGGCCTTCATCTTGCTTGTTTACAGACGACATTGGCAAAGTTCAACCAATCAGACGTCGCAATAGCGGGTCACGACATTGACGTCACAGGGTCACGACCGCCCCGACATAGCAACAAGGAGGGTTTGTTTATTATTTTTAACCGCTGCTATTGGCTGAGTAGTGGTGTTGAATATTATAATGAGTACTATAAATAGAAAGCAGGGATTTCGCGGGTTGTTTTGGTATAGGTTACACGCGGAGTTTCCCGTTTGCGGAATGGCTACCCTTTTCAGCGAAATTGGTCAATTTATGGCTTTGTTTCAAGTAAGTTGACCTACTTGAGTAATGTATTGTTTACTAATTGCCACATTTCTACCCTTTATCAATGTTTTCTTGCTAGTAAAGTATGCCGGACTGAATTATAACATGATAAAGTACTCGAAAATGGTCAAAACCAAATTTCGAAAATTTTTGCCCTCAGACACAAATTAGCGTATAATTAGAAATCGACGTGTGCGACTTAAGACTCAATTTGCTATCACCCATCACATTTTTGCTCAATCAACACGAATAAAAAAAGTAAAATAAAAACATCTAACATTTATTCCACCAAGGTCGTTTGCCTCATTCTGATAATCTACTGCTATTGAACCTAGGTTCTATTAATACTCCTTGTATTGAACCAATCAGTAAGTGAGAATATACGTGACCTAGGTCGTTATGAATAAATTACATCGCGGGAAGTCTAAACACAGTGTTAACTTGTATCCCGTAAACCCAAGAAGTAGCTTTTATCTAGCGTAAACCAGCGCGAGGAATGAATGAATATTTTTTTATTTAGACTACTGTTTTCGTTGCACTGCATTAATATTTTTATTAGTTACTATCGCTAAATAATACGCGTGATATTAATATTTATACTCAAAGCTGCGTACGTGATCAATAGCATTGGGGAAAATTTCAAAGTAATCAGATGTAAAATTGGCTAAATATAGAGCATCGGGAATGTCAGAATATATTGTAACGAATAGTAAATGGATAGTAAAATGATTTGGATAATCCTTATTTTGTATCCATTAACGGATATCCGAATAGTAGTTTCAACACTAGAATGCTCTAACGACAAAAGTTATGATCCAATCTGTATGAAATTTATATGTAGCCTATCATTTAAATTAGTAAAATGAACAAGCCTATTGAGTTTCAGCAAATTTCCGTTAATTACATCTAGAGTTATGGCCTATGTTTCACTTTGTTGAATAACGACAAAAATTATCACCCAATCTGTATGAAATTCATATGCATCATTCAAATTAGTGAAATGAAGAAGCCTATTGAATGGCAGCAATTTCCGTCAATTACTTCTAGAGTTATGGCCCTTGTTTTACTTTGTTGAACCTTGTGAACGTTCGGATGACAAAAGTTATCATCCAATCTGTATGAAATTTATATCCATTATTTGAATTAGTAAAACGAAAAAACCTGTCGAATTTCAACAATTTCTGTAGATTACTTCCAGAGTTACGGCCCATGTTTTAGTTTTTAGAACCTTGTGAACCCTCAAACGACAAAAATTATTTACCTACAAAAGAATAAATATGTGACAACCCTTGTCGACCTCTCAGACGATTTAGCTGCTGTGGGCGTATGTTTTGTTGCCTGGCAACCTATCTTCTTTTTGTGTGTCTGTGTGTCGCATACAGGCCACAATTCTTAAGTGATCATCTTGAAACTATACATACTTATTCCATATACCCTAAGGATGATCCCTATTGTTTTCGGTGCATGCCCGATCCCCAGGGGCAGAGCCACCCCCATTTCTTGTATTTGTTTGTCGTCTACAGACCGCATTTCTTAACGTATCGGGGGGGTTGGATGGCCTATTAGTTAGCATGTGCGTGCTGTATCATAAGGCCTGTCATTGAGTCAACTGGCGTGGTTTCGAATCCCCAGTTATACGTGACAAGGAGTTGGGTTGCCTGTCCAACCTTGTGGGTTTTCTCCGGGTCCTCCGGTTTCCTCCCACTGCTAAAGACCCCTACGCGCAAGCGAATTAGTGAAATAAAATTAAACCATATGTTAGTCCCGAAATGACCTAGTTTGTGTCGAGTGGACGTTAAACCCCATTTCTCTCTCTCTCTCTCTCTCTCTTAACGTATCACCTTGAAACTTTGCATACTTATTCCTTCTATCCTAAGGAACATTTGTCGTGAATGCCCAACCCCCAGGGGCAGAGCCACGCCCTTTTTGTGTGTCTGTATGTCACTTACAGCCCGCAATGCTTAATCGATCATCTTGAAAACTTTTTTTATACTTATTCCTTATACCCTAAGGCTGATCGCTATTATTTTTTGTGTCTTTTGTGTCACCTACAGGCTGCAATTCCTAACAGATGCTTTTGAAACTTTGCATACCTATTCCTTATACCCTAAGGATGCCCCCTGTTGTTTTTTGGTGATTGCCCAACCCCCCGGGGCAGAGCCACACCCATTTTTTCTTTGTGTCTCTGTGTGTTGCCTACAGGCCACGATTCTTAATGGATTGTCTTTGAACTTGGGATATGTATTCCTTATAGCCTAAGAACGGCAACTGCATGTCCCGACCCCCAGGGCAGAGCCACACCCAATTTTTGTGTTTATCGTTTACAGGCTGCAATTCTGAATGGATCAACTTGGTACTTTGCATATGTATTCTTTATAGCCTAGGGCGTCAACTATTGATTTTGGTGAATGTCCCGACACCCAGGGGCAGAGCCATGCCCTATTTTTGCCTTTAGCACCCGAAGCTCACAATTCTGAGTGGATTATCTTGGAACTTGGTATACTTATACCCTAAGGATGGCAACTATTGATACTGTCATTTCAATAACAGGGTGGTACCTATTTATATTGTTCCATATCCAACCCCCAGGGGCAGAGCCACACCCAATTTTTATACGCCCATATTTTTATGTGGACGTATATTGTCGTCGCCCCTGTCCGTCACTCCTACAGGTCACAATTTTTATCAGATTTCAATGAAACTTGAAATATAGGTTTATCACCCTAAGTTGGTTCCTTTCGATATTGGCATGTATCGGACTGTAACTTCATGGATTATGGCCTCTGATTGTACAAAAAATCACGTTTTTAGCTTGTGAACACTGTAGAGGTCATAATTTTTATCCGATTTGGTTTAAACATAAAATGTATGTTTATAACCCACAGATCGCGGTCCCTTTTGATATTCGTGCATTTCGTAACTTCCTGAATTATGGCCCCTGATTGACAGAAAAATTACGTTTTTAGCTTGTGGACTCCGTAGAGGTCACAATTTTTATCAGATATAAAAAAACGTTACAATATGTCACCGTTACACACTAAGGGTGGTTGAATTCGAATTTCGTAAAAATCGGACCGAAACTGACAGACAAAATAGTGTCAAAATATTGTGTATCAGGGTTGTGGACCCTCTGGAGGTCACAATTTTAATCCGATTTCGATGAATCTTGAAATACATGTTTATAACCCAAAGATATTGGTTCCTTTCGATATTCGCGCATATCGGACCATAACTTCCTGAATTATGGCCCTTGATTGAACAAATACTCACGTTTTTAGCTTAAATGTGGTCCCAGTAGAGGTCACAATTTTTATCCGATTTAAAAAAAACGTGTGAATATATCACCATTACACACTAAAATCTTGGTTCCTTTTGATAATCGCGGTTACCAGAACTTAACTTCCTAGATTATGGCCCCTGATGGTTCGAAAAATGCATTTTTAGCTTGCAGATTCTCTAGAGGTCACAATTTTCCGATTTTAAAAAAACGTTTAAATACATCACCATTGCACCATAATGAAGGTTGAATTCGTATTTCGGGAAAATAGAAATGAAACTGCCTGACAAAATGGCCGCTCTTTGTATGCAAATTGTTTAGAAGTGTGTAATACGAAGGTTGTGGACCCTCTTGAGATCACAATTTTTATCCGATTTTTGAAGAAACTTATAACATATCTTTATATCCCAAAGATCTCTGTCCCTTTTGATATGTGCACATTTCAGGCCATAACTTTCTGGATTATTGCCCCTGATTGTACAAAAAATCCTGTTTGTTTTTAGCTTGTTCTCTATCCATCTCTTGCAAAATGTGGGCGTATCCAGCCTGGCAGCCGCTGGTTGTAATTATCGTCTACAGGCTGCAGTTCTGAATGGATCATCTTGGAACTTTGCATATTTATTCCTTATAATGATAGCAACTATTTATTTTGGTGCTTGCCCCGACCTCCTGGGGCAGTGTCACACCCACTTTTTTGTTAATATTTTGTCTGTAAATTTGGCAAAACAAACCTAACGCCTAGCCTTCTTTGCCTCTTGTCATATTACAGCGATTTCGTATTTCATTCTCTTCATTTTAAAAAGTACCATATCAATCAAAGCTGGAATGTGGACGTATATTGAAGCGTTAGCGATGCTGTCGTTAGTTTGTTCTCTGTCCACCTTACGAAAATGTTGGTGTATCTTGCATGGCAAACGCTTGTTAGAATATAGTAACAGATAAACCCTCTCCTTTAATAACATTTAATTACAACCAGATTCAAATGAGTCCTGTTCAAGATTTAGTCAACCCTCTCTTCTGTTTGCGTACGGCTGTTGTAATTGACTCGTCACAGGTACTACACATTCACCAACTGTTCAAGATAAGAACTGAATATTTGTATTTTAGGTTATGTTTGGAACAACTGATGGGCAAATTATTGTAATGAGTTCTACAGGTGCCATGATAACTCAGGTAACCTTACATGATGGTATGGAAATTACTTCCATGGCTTGGTCATGTGAAAAATTTAACATGGAAGAAGGAGAAACAACAGGGTGTAATGTTGATACACAAAATAAGACTGATGGTAGGTTCTACATTTGATTATAGTTTTGATTTTGTTTTATGAATTATTTCTAGTGTTGACATTTATTTATCTTTGCTGATGATCTGTTTCTTTTGATGTTTATCAATTGAATAACTTTCAGAAAAAAAATACCCCTAACCCAAGTTTATATTTCCTTTTCTTTATAACTAGACAAATGATGATGTATAAGGTGTGAGTGAGAAATTACCGTTATTGATCTGGTATTAACACCATCAATCAAGCTTACCTCATAAAGATGTATTAAGTTAAATGACCATTCTTTAATTGTATTATTGAGGTTATTGCTCTACTAATGTTGTGTGGAATGGCAGCATGAGCCATGTGGAGCTCAGTATTCAAATCAATTAGGTGCCATCCATCAAGGTTATGCAGATGCTTTCTTGTTAATGTAAAGATCAATATTTTATATTTATGGTTGTATAAATTGTATGTATTTTATTTTATCAAAAGAGTTATGGCAATTGAATAAATAAGTGAATGATTTATGCAGACACCATACCATCATATTCTGTTAAAGTAAATGTGTTTGTATCCAAATAGTTCGCTCCCAGTGTTGGCCTCGTTTGGATAGAACAAAAAACCGAGTCAAATACATACATAAATTAAGCCACTATACAAGTCACTTTGTGTGCATGAGAAATCAGAATAACTACAAGAAATAAACTGTTATTAGGAACTGGATGAAGAATCCGTTTCATGTGATCAAAAGAAAATAATTACATTTTACTCATTATTTATCATTTTTATACGGCCACATGTAAATGTGGACGTATATTGATCTGTCCGTCATCTACAATTTCTTGTGAACGCTCTAACTCCAAAAGTTATTATCTGATTGTTTTAAATTTCTGTTCATTACGTCTAGAGTTATTGCCCTTGTTTCACTTTATTGAACCTTGTGAACGCTCTGACGCCAAAAGTTATTACCTGATCTTTGTGAAATTTATATGCATTATTTAAATTAGTGAAACAAAGAATCCTATTGAATTTCAGCAATTTCTGTTTATTACGTCTAGAGTTATCACCCTTGTTTCACTTTGTTGCACCTTGGGAATGCTCTAACATCAAAAGTTATCTGCCGATCTGTATGAAATTTACTTGCGTCATTTAAATTAGTAAAGAGAAGAATCCTATTGAATTCCTACAAGTTCCGTTTATTACTTCTAGAGTTATGGTCCTTGTTTCACTTTGTTAACGCTCTAACCTCTAAAGTTATCTGACAATGTGTATGAAATTTATATGTGCCATATAAGTTAGTAAAAAGAACAATCCTATTGTGAATAAAGGCTAAAGTGAAGATCCGATTGACTTTAAATTTATAAACAGTGTTTAAGGTCATGAGACGAAGAAGCCTATTGATTTTCAACGATTTCCGATAATTATGGTTAGAGTTATGACCCTTGATCACTTTGAAATATGTGACTCGGTATGTCAAAATGAGTCGGAATGCGCGTTATCTAATTTTGAACTAGGCACAAAATATGTGAAAATATTGATTTTGATCGAAATTGAGATTTTCACAAAAATGAGTCTATAAATTTACTGTCTATCGACACAAAAGATCAAAAGAGCAATAAAAGATTTGAGAAAACCTTTATTTGGACGTTTTCTAAGAATACAGTATTCTTAAATCTGTCCTATTTCTTAAAATTCTCAGCGAAATTAATTATATGACCAAAATATTGCCGATGAATTCATTTTTCTATGCCGTCGCCCCTGTTTGTCCATCCGTCTGTCTGTCCACAATTTGTTTCTGGACATTGTACAGGTCACAATTTTTATCCGATTTCAACGGAACTTGAAATATAAGTTTGTCCCCCTAAGATCTCAGTTCCATTCGATATTGGCATGTATCTGACAGTAACTTCATGGATTATGGCCCCTGATTGTACGAAAAATCACGTTTTTAGCTTGTAGACCCTATAGAGGTCACAATTTTTATCTGATTTTGTTGAAACTTGAAATGTAAGTTTATAACCCAAAGATCTCAGTTCCTTTAAATATTCGCGCATATCGGACCTTAACTTCCTGAATTATGGCCCCTGATTGTACGAAAAATCGCGTTTTTAGCTTGTGGACCCTACAGAGGTCATAATTTTTATCAGATTTAAAAAAACGTTTGAATATATCACCGTTGCACCCTAAGGACGGTTGAGTTGCAGGACAAAATGGCCGCCCCTTGTACACAATTAGTCTAAACATCTGGTATATCAAAGTTGTAGACCCTCTCGAGGTCACAATTTTGATCTGATTTTGATGAAACTTGAAATGCATGTTTATAACACAAAGATCTTGGATCCTTTCGATAGTTGAGCATATCGGATGGTTACTTCCTAAATTATGGCCCCTGATTGTACGAAAAATCGTGTTTTTAGCTTGTGGACCCTATAGAGGTCATAATTTTTATCCGATTTAAAAAAAAAACATGTGTAAAAGTATGCAATATGAAGGTTGTGGACCCTCTAGAGTTCACAATTTTTATCCGATTTTGATGAAACTTAAAACATATCTTTATATCCCAAAGATCTCAGCCCCTTTTGATATTTGCAAATTTCAGACCATAACTTTCCGGATTATTGCCCCTGATTGTACAAAAAATCCTGTTTGTTTTTAGCTTGTTCTCTATCCATCTCTTACAAAATGTGGGCGTATCCTGCCTGGCAGCCGCTGGTAAACGGATACAATCGGGTTTTAAAACTGCTCATTTGCTGATTGGCCCAGACACCGCGTGCAAAGCATTATGGCTACGTGTCTGGCTCGAGTAGACGATAGATATTTGGTTTTGGCGATAATGTTTTGGGGTACCTACATGTGGTTCACTCTGATAAGTGGCAGAATAAAAAAAATTCATTCTGATCGTATATAGATTGCCGTTGAGTTTTAGTCAAAACCATGTTGCAGAATTATGTAAATTAATCGACAAGCGGGTGTGTCATTGAGTAATACTAATCAAGTGTCACGGATCAATGATAAAGCCGTCTACAACTCATTATTTACTCTGAATAATTAATCCAAGCGGTGATTATTTGATATCTCGTTTTTATAGGCCGTAAATAGAAATAAACAAAATGGCCAATAATTTTCTTTTCTAGGAAAATTTTATTAATAGCTGAATTCCATTGACTGTCGCTTCTTCATACGGCATGCAAAGTAAGGAATACATATTGGATATTATTGTTTAAAGTTCTCTTATCACCATGGGCCTGATCAACAACCTTAAATCTCCTGACCACTAGCTGGCACTAAGGTGCTAATTAATTGATGAGATTAACTGCTCACCAAAGTTATAATATACAAAACATAGACTACTAATGTATAGATTGTTCTTCAGTATAACACTATCATGTGAATATGTCGCATGTATTTTGGATGTTTTGTTACGAAAAGAGTGCATTTACTATGATTTTCGTCTTCAGCACCCTTGAAATCCTATATACAAAAATATTTAAACGACAAAATAGCAAATAAATGGCTCAAAATCGTCGGATCAAATTTTTACTACGATTTTCGTCTTCAGCACCCCTGAAAACTCCTGAAAAGATATATTTAATGACAAAACAGCAAATAAATGGCCTGGTTGCTATGGAATTTTGTTTTGGAACATACCAAATCTTTAACTGACTTTTTTCTCAAAACTTGCATTTGTGAGTTGGGTAGCTTCAAATGGACACAGCTCAGTCAATTTTTGACCGATTCAAACAAACTATACATCAAATTGAAGGTAACAATAACTAAATTTTCAAAATTTCCTCATTGCAACTCATTATGCTATGGCGGGTCACATATCGTGTGGATGCTCTACAGGCTAAAGTTAATATCCAATTGACTTTAAATTTATACACAGTGTTTAAGTTTAAGGCCATGAGACGAGAAAGCCAGTGATTTTCAATATTTCCGATAATTACTACCAGAGTTATGGCCCTTGATCACTTTGAAAAATCTTGTGGATGCTCTAGAGACCAAAGATATCATCCGGTTGACTTTACATTGATAAACAGAGTTTAAGGTCTTGAGACGAACAAGTATATTGATTTTCAATGAATTTTGATAACTTGAACAGCTAAATTCAGGATATTAAATGTTTCGTATACTAAAAGTTAGCATGGGGCAGAACTAAAAGCCGAACGAATTCTAATGATTTAAGAGTTTATTCTAACAGAGTTTAAGATCTTGAAATGAACAAGTATATTGATTTTCAATGAATTTTTATGACTTGAACAGCTAAATCCATGATATTAAAAGTTTTGTATACTAAACGTTAGCATGGGGCAGAACTTTATAAAAGCCCAACAAATTCTAATGGTTTTATGATATTTACTTGATGAGTTGTTACTCGAAATCAGATTTTAGTGTATTATAGATGTTTCATTACCAACAATAGAAAAAAATATGTGACAACTCTTGTTGACTGCTCGGATGACTTAGCTACTGTAGGCGTATAATTCGTTGCCTGGCAACCTATCTTTGTCACATGTAACAAAGATATGATGGTGATGGTTCTGTCTTCCAAATGTACAATGAAGGTGATTGAGGTTCGACACCTTAGTTTTATTGTGAAATGCATGGTGACTGATCAGGGTAAACTGAAAAGAAATATAACTAGACCTGCAAGCAGTGCTGAACCTGCTTTCAGAAAGCAGACAGGAAGATTGTCATATAATAGCCCAATGATACTTTAGTTGTTTTGATCCGGTGTCATCCGAACCAATTTTTTATACGCCCACATTGAAATGTGGTCGTATATTGTCGTCGCTGACCATCCGGCCGGCCAGAGGCCGGCTGTCTGTCCATCCGGCGGTCACAATTGCTTGTTGACGCTCTAGAGGCTAAAGTTAATATCCGATTGATTTTAAGTTTATGTACAGTGTTTAAGGTCATGAGACGAAGAAGTCTATTCATTTTCAGCAATTTTCGATAATTACTGCCAGAGTTATGGCCCTTGATCACATCAAAAAATCTTGTGGGCGACCTAGAAGCCTAAGTTATTATCTGATTGACTTTTAATTTATACACAGTGTTTAAGGTCATGAGAAGAAGAAGTCTATTGATTTTCAGTGATTTCCGATAATAACTGCCAGAGTTATGGCCCTTGATCACTTTAAAAAATCTTGTAAGCACTCTAGAGGCTAAAGTTAATACCTGATTGACTTTAAATTTATACACAGTGTTTAAGGTCATGATAATTACTGCCAGAGTTATGGCCCTTGATCAGTTCAGAAAATCTTGTGGACGCTCTAGAGGCCAAAGTTAATATCCGATTGACTTTAAATTTATACACAGTGTTTAAGGTCATGAGACGAAGAAACCTATTGATTTTCATTGCTTTACAATAACTACTGCCAGAGTTATGTCCCTTGATCACTTTGAAAAATCTTGTGAGCACTCTAGAGGCTAAAGTTAATATCCGATTGACTTTAAATTTATACACAGTGTTTAAGGTCATGAGACGAAGAAGTCTATTCATTTTCAGTGATTTTCGATAATTACTGCCAGAGTTATGGCCATTAATCACTTCAAAAAATCTTGTGGACGCTCTAGAGGCCAAAGTTAATATTCAATTGACTTTAAATTTATACACAGTGTTTAAAGTCATGAGAAGAAGAATCCTATTGATTTTCAATGATTTCCGGTAATTACTTCCAAAGTTATGGCCCTTGATCACTTTGAAAAATCTTGTGATGCTCTACAGGCTAAAGTTATCATCTGATTGACTTCAGATTGATACAGAGTTTACGATCTTATGACGAACAAGTATATTGATTTTCAGTGAATTTTTATGACTTGAACAGCTAAATCCATGATATTAAAAGTTTCATATAACGTTAGCATGGGGCAAAACTTTATAAAAACCAAACAAATTCTAATGGTTTTCTGATAATTACTTGATGAGTTGTTACTCTTAATCAGATTTTAGTGGATTATAAATGTTTCATAACCGAAAAAAGTAAAAATATGTGACAACGCTTGATGACTCCCCGGACGATTTAGCTGCTGTGGGCGTATGTTTCGTTGCCTGGCAACCTATCTTTGGCTGTTACAGCAGCTTTGGAAAATTATGTTTGTTTTGTTTTTAATTTGCGTTATAATGAAGTATACCGTTAGGAGTGGCATCTTTTTGTACAAATGATATCTCTGAAACACTCGGGTTAGGGAAGAACATGATAGTTTTTCATTTTACTTTTACAAGGTTCTTAAAGTTGCTTAATGTGCATGTTTCTAAATTTGAATTCTTGTTCTAGCTTTCTGTCATGCTTCGTAGAAAACATTCTTCATTATCCTGGCCAGTCAATCAGCGGAACTAATTTCAAAGCAAGGGCACGTAAACTAAATGTATTTTGCACTCAAAAAAGCCCAGATGTAATATCCTCTTGTCATTTACCTCTTCAGTCTATTTTTTTATTGATGTTTAAATGGTTATGACTTGTTAAATACAACATGACAGATTGACCGTTTATTTCGTGACGATAAATGTGAATAACTAAATTAAAGATTGTTATATATATAAATATTGTGGTATAATTGTCAAAATATTTGGGGCACCCTACAGCTATTACACCCTTTAATTGAATTTTTGCTATTCTTATGTTTTAGAAGGAAACTCTAGTCCAGTCACTCCTAAGAGTCATACGTTAGCTATATGTTTCAAGTATGGTGCTATTTATCTCTTGTCTAACTATGATGATCTCTGTCCTAATATTGTTCATACAATGCTAACAGGTTAGTTAATAACATTTTCATGTCTTGTATGATATTAGTCTTCATTTGCTCTTTTAGTACAGTAGTATCTCATGATAATACCACCTTAAAGAAGCATTATTTGAGAGTTAAATCTGCCCATTGCAGGTTTTTATTATACGCCCACATGCCGTCGCCCCCGTCCGTCCCTCGTCCACAATTTCTTGTGAACACTCTACAGACTACATTTATCATCTGATTGTTTTGAAATTGATATATGTTGTTTGCATTAGTGAGATGAAGAAGCCTATTTAACTTCAATAACTTCCATTAATTTCTTCTGGAGTTATGGCCCTTGTTCCACTTTGTTGCACCTTGTGAACGCTCTAACGACAAAAGTTATCAACCGATCTGTATGAAATTTATATCAGGGGTGCACAATTTCACTTTTGAACCACTAGCAGGCGGACAGAATGCGAAATTTCAGCTGTCCAACAAAAAAATTAACCTGTCCCGGGCGTCGGGCGATGGGTATTGTGCACCACCGTTATATGCATCATTTGAATTAGTAAAACAAAGCAGCCTATTGAATTTCAGCAATTTTTGTTAATTAAATCTAGAGTTATGGCCCTTGTTTCACTTTGTTGAATCTTGTGAATGCTCTGTTTGAAATTCATATGCATCATTTAAATTAGTGAAATGAAGAAGCCTATGGAATTTCAGCAATTTCCGTTAATTACACCGTGAGTTATATGGCCCTTGTTTCACTTTATTGTACCTTGTGAATGCTCTAACAACAATAGTTATTATCCGATCTGTATGACATTTATATGCATTATTTGAATTAGTAAAACGAAAAAGCCTGTTGAATTTCAACAATTTCTGTACATTACTACCAGAGTTACATTCCTTGTTTTAGTTTTTAGAACCTTGTGAACCCTCAAACGACGAAATTTATAATGTCGTCATCTGTATGAAATTGTCTATTAAATGCCCCTAATTACCTACAAAAGAATAAATATGCGACAACCCTTGTTGACGGGTCGGACAATTTAGCTTCTGTGGGGCGCTAGAGTTACCAGATTAATCATTGAAGACTAAAGCAGACTAAAGCTAAATTCGGCACAGAGCACTCGCTGGGTGCGAAACATTGAGCGCCGGAGGCGCGAACTTACTAGGAGGGTTTGGGGGCATGCCCCCCCCCCACAAATTTTTTCATTTCTAGAAGCAGGGAGATGCGTTTTCAGCCGTTTTGTGACGGTGGTTACACTAAAAATATATGTTGTTGAATGGGTTATTGATGGGCATTATTTCGATTGTCACATGTTAGTAATATTTGTAGGAGCCCGTCCGTAATTTTGCCATGATATCCATACCTGTTTTTTATACGCCCACATTGAAATGTGGTCGTATATTGTCGTCGCCCCCGTCCGTCCGTCCATCGGTCCATCGGTCCGTCGGTCCATAATTGCTTGTGGACGCTCTAGAGGCTAAAGTTAATATCTGATTGACTTTAAATTTATACACAGTGTTTAAAGTCTTGAGACGAAGAAGCCTATCGATTTTCAGCGATTTCCGATAATTACTGCCAGAGTTATGGCCCTTGATCACTTTTAATCGCTAAGTAATAAGAGGAATTATAGATGAAATACAATAAAAATCATATTATTGTCTACAAGATAACAATTGGTTATTAAAGGGGCTCCTATTTTAGTCATACGTTTTCATTTTGTATGGCGCATGCATTTCACATAAATTTATTTTTGTGAACTGTTATATTTCGCAAAATTATACCCAAGATCATACGTCAATTTCTATAAAGCCAATCGCATTGTAATACCAGTTTTAGGGCTGTATTATGCACTTTCGGCACACCTCGGTTTTTTCTACGAAACCCGAGGAATGCCGAATGTATTGTGCACTGAACTATATTTAGATCAGAAGTGGTGTGCTGTCGTGCTGAAGTAAGAGTGCTTGTAGCAAACGCTGTTTTTATACATTATAATCACTAGTTATGTGTTATTATTTTCAATTGGAAAACACCTGATTTGAAAACCGGGACATTTAGGCACGTGAGAAGCCTCGGGATGGGACGACAAAAAGGACCCCATAAACTGGGACTGTCCCGGTAAAACCGGGACGTATGGTAGCACTACTGTGGGCATATGTTTTGTTGCCTGGCAAGCTATTTTTTGGCTTCAAATGTTATATAAATTATTATTTAGACATTTATTCACATGACAAGCCTATTATCAACTGTCAAAACTTCAAACTGCAGTCATAACTTCACTCAGAATAAAGTAATTTGAATGCAATTTTCAATATGTTCATTTTGAATTATCTATATAGCAGAACGGCCAGCTCTTCATCTAAATCTTACATAATGCATCTCTAATAAAGTTTTCTATTGATTGTGTCCATTTCTTCTATATGTGGATAAGGTAACTGTAATATGCACGGTCCATCATGCATTATGCCACCCTAACCGACGATATTTTCTTATAGCTTTATTTTGTCTTTTTTTTAATTAATAATTGTTAAATATGTTGTAAATCAACGCTTTCTTCCTATTGAAATGTTTGGATGTCAGTTGTCAATTATTTTTTTTTACCAACAAAGAGTTTATTATTATTATTATTACAAGGCAAAGCAAATCGCTTGCTATAGCCAACATAGGTACATAGAATATATTTGGTGTGTGAACGATCACCAAATATATCGAAAAATGTTCCAGAATCAACAATAGGTAGAAACTGAGTTTGAAAACAGAAGATTCTTATTAGGGCGTACCACTTTTGCAAATGTAGTTGCTGGAATGCAGCACTATGTGCCTGCTGATTCCTTTAGTTAGGTGATCGACCATAGTTTGAGAATTTTCCCGCTTCGTTTTTTATGCGAGCGCCATTTTGTAATTTCAGGAAAAATCCACATTTTTGGAAATACCAGTACTTAAATTTTTGAAAAATAGATTTCTCTGTATTTAGATGACCGAATGTACTTTATTATATTAGGCATCAGTATGATAGTAAGTACCTGTAAATTTTTTCACGAACTTCTGACATTTAGAGAAGGGGTTGTCATTTTGGAACATTCATACAATTTCGTCAAAGTGACCTTAGGTTCTATAGCTTAATAATTGCCCCGTTTCCAGATTTCCAACAAAGAACACAAAGTCAAAAGGCAGGGGACTATTAAAATTGGTTTGTCCATCTGTAGTCTGTCTGTCTGTCCGTCACACTTTTTGGGACACAATAACCTAATTGGGCTAGAATGTTCAAACTTGGTGTAGGTATTTATTAGGTCAATGCCTTGATGGAGTTCGAAGATGAGCATTTTCTGCTTAGGGTAAGCAGAGATAAGCAATTTGATTGGTTGATGCTTTGGGACATGATAACTTTAGTTCTAATTAAGTGAGAGTGATGAAACTTGGTTTATAGTTTCATTACATCAATACCTTGACTAAGTTCGATAATGAGCATTTTCTGCCCAGGGTAAGCAGAGCGATAAGCAATTTGATTGGCCAAGACTTTGGAACACAATAACTCTCCTTCTAATTGAGCTAGAATGTTGAAACTTGGTGTAGGTGTTTATTAGGTCAGTGCCTTGATGGAGATCGAAATGGGCATTTTCTGCTTAGGGTAAGCAGACATAAGCAATTTGATTGGTTGATGCTTTGGGACATGATAACTTTAGTTCTAATTAAGTGAGAGTGATGTGATGAAACTTGGTGTCAGGTGAATGCCTTGATGGAGTTCAAAGATGAGAATTTTCTGCTTAGGGTAAGCAGAGATAAGCAATTTGATTGGTTGATGCTTTGGGACACGAAAACTTTAGTTCTAATTAAGTGAGAGTGATGAAATTTGGTATATTGGGCATATTCCTGGTCGGACGTTTGGAAAATTGTGTAGGACATGTCCAAAATATACGGGCGAAATAGCATGAATGTTCCAAAATGACAACCCCTTTTCAAAATGTCGGGAGAAGTTCGAGAATAATATTTACAGGTAGTTACAATCATACTGGTGCCTAATAAAATACATTCGTCATCTAAATACAGAGAAATCTATTTTTTAAAAATTTGGGTTTTCCAAAAATGTGGATTTTTCCTGAAATTTTAAAATGGCAGCCTGCAGTCCTAAAGGGCGGGACAGTTCTCAAACTTAATTGGTCGATCAACTAACTTCACTAGAAGAATCGCTAGACACAGTACTTCATTCCAGCAATTACTTTTGCAAGGTGGTATGCTCTAACTTAAAATTGTAATTCCAATTATTTTACTATATATTTCAATCCTTTCTTTTCTATGGAAGGAAATTGTGACAATACTTGAATTGTTGAATAGTTTTCCAATAGTGTCTGTCTGTGCTATTATACTTAACTTTTCTTTATTTAGGTCTGAAAATAGATTGGTCTAATTGTGGAGAGTACTTAGTTGTTGGTGGCTTCATTAGACTTCCTAATTTACAGTGTCGTAATGAACTTCACTTCTATTCTAAAGATGGAACATTACGGCATCTAATCTCAATACCAACACAGGTTAAGAATACATTATTTCTTTTCTTTAATAGGATATTGAACACATTTCTTATTTTATAAACATACCATTATTTTTTTTTTGTCCCCCGGCTTTCGAAGAAAGCAGGGGACTATTAAAATGGGTCCGTCCGTCCGTCCGTCTGTCTGGCCCTCTGTCACATTTTTTGAGACACAATATAGCTCACCTTCTAATTGAGCTAGAATGTTCAAACTTGGTGTAGGTGTTTATAACTTTAGTTTAATTAATAAGTGAGAGTGATGAAACTTGGTGTATAGTTTCATTACATCAATACCTTGACTAATTTTGATAGTGAGCATTTTCTGGTCAGAGTAAGCAGAGCGATAAGCAATCTGATTGGTTGAGGCTTTGGAACACAATAACTCTCCTTCTAATTGAGGTAGAATGTCCAAACTCTGTATAGGTATTCATTAGGTGAATGCCTTGATGGAGTTCAAAGATGAACATTTTCTGCTTACCCGAAGCAGAGATAAGCAATTTGATTGGTTGATGCTTTGGGACACGATAACTCTGGTTCTAATAAAGTGAGATTGATTAAACTTGGTGTATAGTTTCATCCCATCAATACCTTGTCTAAGTTCGATAATTAGCATTTTTGGGTAAGCAGAGCAATATGCAATTTGATTGGTCGAGACTTTGGAGCTTGACAACTTTGATTCTAGTTGAGTGATAGTGGTGAAACTTTGTGTATAGTTTCATTACATCAATACCTTAACAAAGTTTGATGCTGAGCATTTTCTGTTTAGGCAAACTAGAGACTTCAATTTGATTGGTCGAGACTTTGGAACACAATAACTGCCTTCTAATTGAGGTAGAATGTTCAAACTTGGTGTAGGTGTCTATTAGGTGAATGCATTCCTAGACTTTGATCATGCGCATTTTCCACTAAGCGGAAATAAGCAATTTGATTGATTGAGACTTTGGAACATGATAACCTTGGTTCTAATTGGGTGAGAACGATGGAACTCATTATATCAATACCTTGACTCAGTTCAATGATGAGAATTTTCTGCTTAGGCTAAGTAACGATAACTAATTTGATTGGTCAAGACTTTGGAGGATAACAACTCTGCTTTTAATTGAGGTAGAGTGTTTAAACTTCATGTAGATGTTCGTTAGGTGAATGTCTTGACCCCGAGTTCAATCTAAGCAGAGCTAAGCAATTTCATTTGTCTATGCTTTGGGATAAGATAACTTTGATTCGAACTGATGGAGAGTGATGAAACTTAGTGTATAGTTTCACTACCAGGTACTTCAAAACCTTGACTGAGTTTAATTGTGAACATATTCTATTTAGATTTAGACTAAGTATAGATAATCAGTTTTACACACTGGACCCTTTGTTCTGACTCGGGTGATCAACCTGTAATGGGTTGTTTTAGCACGTGCACAGGTGATCATTTGAGGAAAAGTAGGCGTTCATATAAATGAACACCACAACATACTAACCCAGTGATTGTCAAAACAGAACACGCATTTTCGTGCATGAACTGTATTAGAAATAACAAGAAACGCCATGTTAATTAAAAAAGATAAATACATGTAGTTAAAACAATAAATAAATATTTTTCAATGTGGAGTGTGAAATAGTATCATTAGCTAGAAAACACATCCAATAGTAATAGTATAAGGAACAAATACACAAAACCTAGTGAACTGGGATAAATTTCTGTTTGGTCTTGTTTTAGATAATTGTAATCTTGTAAAATACCTTTCCTACATCATCGCACATGCTATTTTTATACGCCCACATTTTCATGTGGACGTATTATGCCGTCGCCCCTGTCTGTCCGGACGTCCGTCCATCCACAATTGTTTGTGGACTCTCTACAGGTCACAATTCTTATCTGATTTTGACGAAACTTGATATGTAGGTTTATCCCCAAAAGATCTCGGCTGCTTTCGATATTGGCATGTATCGGATCGAAACTTCATGGATTATGGCCCCTGATTGTACGAAAAATCACGTTTTTAGCTTGTGGACCGTATAGAGGTCACAATTTTTATCCAATTTTTTTGAAACTTGAAATGTAAGTTTATAACCCAAAGATCTCAGTTCCTTTCGATATTCGCGCATATTGGACTGTAACTTCCTGAATTATGGCCCCTGATTGTACGAAAAATCACGTTTTTAGCTTGTGGACCCTATAGAGGTCATAATTTTTATCCGATTTAAAAAACCGTATTATTATATCACCGTTACATCCTAAGGAAGGTTGAGTTCGAATTTCGTGAAAATCGGCTCAAAATTGACAGACAAAATGGCCGCCGTTCGTTCTCAAATAGCGTAAAAATATTGTATATCAAGGTTGTGGACCCTATAGAGGTCACAATTTTTGTCCGATTTAGTTGAAAATTAAAATGTAAGTTTATAACCCAAAGATCTCGGTTCCTTTTGATATTCGCGCATATCGGACTGTAACTTCCTGAATTATGGCCCCTGATTGTACGAAAAATCACGTTTTTAGCTTGTGGACCCTATAGAGGTCATAATTTTTATCCAATTTAAAAAAACGTATTATTATATCACCGTTACACCCAAAGGAAGGTTGAGTTCGAATTTCGTGAAAATCGGCCCAAAATTGACAGACAAAATGGCCACCGTTCGTTCTCAAATAGCGTAAAAATAGGGTATATCAAGGTTGTGGACCCTATAGAGGTCACAATTTTTATCCGATTTTTTTGAAACTTGAAATGTAAGTTTATAACCCAAAGATCTCGGTTCGTTTCGATATTCGCGCATATCGGACTGTAACTTCCTGAATTATGGCCCCTGATTGTACGAAAAATCACGTTTTTAGCTTGTGGACCCTATATTGGACATAATTTTTATCCGATTTAAAAAAACGTATTATTATGTCACCGTTACACCCTAAGGAAGGTTGAGTTCGAATTTCGTGAAAATCGGCCCAAAATTGACAGACAAAATGGCCGCCGTTCGTTCTCAAATAGCGTAAAAATATGGTATATCAAGGTTGTGGACCCTATAGAGGTCACAATTTTTATCCGATTTTGTTGAAAATTGAAATGTAAGTTTATAACCCAAAGATCTCGGTTCCTTTCGATATTCGCGCATATTGGACTGTAACTTCCTGAATTATGGCCCCTGATTGTACGAAAAATCACGTTTTTAGCTTGTGGACCCTATAGAGGTCATAATTTTTATCCGATTTAAAAATCCGTATTATTATATCACCGTTACACCCTAAGGGAGGTTGAGTTCGAATTTCGTGAAAATCGGCCCAAAATTGACAGACAAAATGGCCGCCGTTCGTTCTCAAATAGCGTAAAAATATGGTATATCAAGGTTGGGGACTCTATAGAGGTCACAATTTTTGTCCGATTTAGTTGAAAATTGAAATGTAAGTTTATAACCCAAAGATCTCGGTTCCTTTCGATATTCACGCATATCGGACTGTAACTTTCTGAATTATGGCCCCTGATTGTACGAAAAATCACGTTTTTAGCTTGTGGACCCTATAGAGGTCAAAATTTTTATCCGATTTAAAAAAACGTATTATTATATCACCGTCACACCCTAAGGAAGGTTGAGTTCGAATTTCGTGAAAATCGGCCCAAAATTGACAGACAAAATGGCCGCCGTTCGTTCTCAAATAGCGTAAAAATATGGTATATCAAGGTTGTGGACCCTATAGAGGTCACAATTTTTATCCGATTTTGTTGAAAATTGAAATGTAAGTTTATAACCCAAAGATCTCGGTTCCTTTCGATATTCGCGCATATCGGACTGTAACTTCCTGAATTATGGCCCCTGATTGTACGAAAAATCACGTTTTTAGCTTGTGGACCCTATAGAGGTCATAATTTTTATCCGATTTAAAAAACCGTATTATTATATCACCGTTACACCCTAAGGGAGATTTTGTCCGATTTAGTTGAAAATTGAAATGTAAGTTTATAACCCAAAGATCTCGGTTCCTTTCGATATTCGCGTATATCGGACTGTAACTTTCTGAATTATGGCCCCTGATTGTACGAAAAATCACGTTTTTAGCTTGTGGACCCTATAGAGGTCATAATTTTTATCCGATTTAAAAAACCGTATTATTATATCACCGTCACACCCTAAGGAAGGTTGAGTTCGAATTTCGTGAAAATCGGCCCAAAATTGACAGACAAAATGGCCGCCGTTCGTTCTCAAATAGCGTAAAAATAGGGTATATCAAGGTTGTGGACCCTATAGAGGTCACAATTTTTATCCGATTTTGTTGAAAATTGACATGTAAGTTTATAACCCAAAGATCTCGGTTCCTTTCGATATTCGCGCATATCGGACTGTAACTTCCTGAATTATGGCCCCTGATTGTACGAAAAATCACGTTTTTAGCTTGTGGACCCTATAGAGGTCATAATTTTTATCCGATTTAAAAAAACGTATTATTATATCACCGTTACACCCTAAGGGAGGTTGAGTTCGAATTTCGTGAAAATCGGCCCAAAATTGACAGACAAAATGGCCGCCGTTCATTCTCAAATAGCGTAAAAATATGGTATATCAAGGTTGTGGACTCTATAGAGGTCACAATTTTTGTCCGATTTAGTTGAAAATTGAAATGTAAGTTTATAACCCAAAGATCTCGGTTCCTTTCGATATTCGCGCATATCGGACTGTAACTTCCTCATTATGGCCCCTGATTGTACGAAAAATCACGTTTTTAGCTTGTGGACCCTATAGAGGTCATAATTTTTATCCGATTTCAAAAACCATATTATTATATCACCGTTACACAAAAAGGAAGGTTGAGTTCGAATTTCGTGAAAATCGGCCCAAAATTGACAGACAAAATGGCCACCGTTCGTTCTCAAATAGCGTAAAAATAGGGTATATCAAGGTTGTGGACCCTATAGAGGTCACAATTTTTATCCGATTTTTTTGAAACTTGAAATGTAAGTTTATAACCCAAAGATCTCGGTTCCTTTCGATATTCGTGCATATCGGACTGTAACTTCCTGAATTATGGCCCTTGATAGTAGGAAAAATCACTTTCTTGTTAGCTTGTTCTCTATCCATCTCTCGAAAATGTGGGCGTATCCTGCCTGGCAGCCGCTGGTTTTTGCACATGGTTAGTTTGTTCTGTGGCTGACAATTCGTGAATGTAAAACGTATTGCAGTCAATACAGCATACCCCATTCATGCCAAATAGATATTACATTATTCATTGGTCTGTTGTGGATTTTAAAGATAGATTGCCAGGCAACGAAACATACGCCCACAACAGCTAAGTCGTCTGGGCAGTCAGTAAGGGGTGTCACATATTTTTTCCTTTGTCAGTAAGGAGAGAGAGAAATGGGGTTTAACGTACACTCGACACGAACTAGGTCATTTCGGGACTCACATGGTTCAATTTTATTTCAAAAATTTGCTGGCGCGTAGGGGTCTTTAGCAGTGGGAGGAAACCAGAGGACCCGGAGAAAATCCATGAGATTGGACAGGTTACCCTACACCTTGTCACGTACAACCGGGGAATCAAAACCATGCCAGTTGACTCAATGACAGACCTTATGATACAACACACACACGCTAACCATTCGGCCATCGAACCCCCCCTTATTGGTAAGGAAAACATTTGCAACACACTAAAATATAATTACGAATAACAAAACCATTAAGTAATTGTCATACTTGTTTGGCTTCTAATTCTGACCTATATGACGTTGAGTACTCAAAACATAAAATATCAAGGGCCATAAATCTGGAAGTCATTATTGGAAATCATTGAAAATCAATAGGATTCTTCGTCTCATGACCATAATTGTTTAGCCTCCAGAGCATGGACACCCGACGGGAGCGACGACAATATACGACATGTTGGCGTATAAAAAAACTGTTGAAAACCGGAAATCAGCAAATAGGCTTAAAATACATTTATCCATGTACCAATCCAAATTCCTTAAAATTGTATTTCAAAAACCTGTATTTCATCTATCTTGAACCCCTCTGTCTCGATACTTTTGAAAAAAATAAATGTGCAATTAAGTAATTTTTGTCATCTATTTATTTGGATTTCGGCAGGGGACATCAGCCTCACAGTTGGCTTGTTTCTCCAAATATCCAAGACAGAATTTAAACAGTGGTTTTATGTTTCTTTAACATAATATAGAAAATTATATTTGTTCACCGCCTTTCGAAGAAAGCATGTCTGTCTGTCTGTCCATCTGTCACACTTTTTGGGACACAATAACTCTCTTTCTAATTAAGCTAGAATGTTCAAACTTGGTGTAGGTGTTTATTAGGTCAATGCCTTGTACGAAAAAATCTTTTTTTTTAGCTTATGGGCACTCTAGAGGTCACAATTTTTATACAAGATGAGATAAGCAATTTGATTGGTTGATGCTTTGGGACACGATAACTTTAGTTCTAATTAAGTGACAGTGATGAAACTTGGTGTATAGTTTCATTACATCAATACCTTGACTAAGTTTGATAATGAGCATTTTCTGCTTTGGGTAAGCAGAGCGATAAGCAATTTGATTGGTCGATGCCATGATGGAGTTTGATGATGAACATTGTCTACTTAGAGTAAGCAGAGATAAGCAATCTGATTGGTTGATGCTTTGGGGCACGATAACTTTGGTTATAGTGAAGTGAGAGCGATGAAACTCTGAATATAGATTCAGTATATCTTTACCTTGACTAAGCTCGATGGTGAGAATTTTCTGCTTAGGCTAAGGAGCGATAAGCAGTTTAATTGATTGGTCAAGACATAACAACTCTGCTTTTAATTGAAGTAGAATGTTTAAACTTGATGTAGATGTTCATTAGGTGAATGTCTTGACTGAGTTCATTGATTAACATTTCAAGCTAGAGCTAAGCAATTTCATTGGTCGATGCTTTGGGACAAGATAACTTTGATGGTATCTGATAGAGAGTGGTGAAACTTAGTGTATAGTTGATAATCAGTTTGATTGCTCGATACTTTTGAAAAAAAAAAATGTGCGATTAATTAATATGTGTCATCTATTTATTTTAGCACTTCGGTGGGGGACATCAGCTTCACTGTTGGCTTGTTATTTTTTATTCTATAACATCAATCAATTTAGTGTCTAGAATTAGAAAGATATTCCCACAAATTAAAAAATTGATCTTTCCTTGAAAAGTAGAAAAGCAATAATAAGAATTTCATTTTATTTTATTTTTTTTATTTTTTAGGGTAAACCTTTAACAGCATTAACATGGGGTCATAATGATAAACGATTGTTTATAGCAGCTGGGTGTAATTTATATGTAGCTTGGGTTAATAAACAGATAGCTCCTCTATACTTTCTTTGTCAGCGTGTCACTCAAACCTGTATTCAGCAAGAAAAAAATGCAACACGACTTCCTCTTCCAGTTAGATTAAGATTAGGTATACAGGCTTTGTTTTCTCCTACAGTCAAGGTATGTATAAATGTTCCATGTGCTGTGATTTACGATATCTTTATACTGTGTCATGCAGTGAGCTTATTCCAAAAAACTAGAATAATACCTATTTAGGCTATTCAATTGTTAACACAAGGTACAATTTTATGGATACACAATTACTGAGTTTAATACTAAGCGACGTTTCGACGAGGATACTCTCGTCTTTATCAAGCAAATGATACAGGTATGTGAATAGTAGGCAGATATATACAGAATATACTTATGTCACTTCCGGTGCCACGTTATCTAGCAATATCAATTTCATTTATACATTTCTTATCATGTGTAACATATGCCAAAAATGTGATCCTGCCAAAATTGTTACTAACTTACCGCTAAGTTAGCTGACTTTCTAATGGGAGAAGCAATTTTTGGATATCTATATGACCGTATTGATCCAAGCCATATGTCCATTGGAATCGAATATCATAATGTTAAACGAATAATAAATATAACTGACTTCAAAACAATGTTTTGAAGGCTAATTATACAGTTTTTGCCAAAATTACATTACTTTCGATGATAATAATTGACACTTTTATAGACCAAAAACCTTAAAAAGTGACTTCTAGAATATCGTCAATTTCTCTGCAACTGAACACGTTAGAAACCATTTGTGACCCCCCCCCCCCCCCTAGCATACTGAGTCACAATGAGGAAATTTTAAAAATTGAGTTATTGTTATTTTTGAGAAAAAGCGAGTCAAAGATTTGGTATGTTCCGAAACAAAATCCCATAGCAACCAGGCCATTTATTTGCTGTTGTCGTTGAATATATCTTTCCATGGGTTTTCAGGGGTGCTGAAGACGAAAATTTGATCTGACTATTTCCGCAATTTATTTGCTATTTTGTCATTTAATATGTTTTTTATTTAGGATTTCAAGGGTGCTGACGACGAAAATCGTAATAAATGCACTCCTTTCGTAATGAAACATCCACAACACATGCGGCATAATATTCACATGATAGTGTTATACTGAAGAACAATCTATACATTAGTAGTCTGTTGTGTATATTATAACTTTGGTGAGATTAACAGTTAATCTCATCAATTAATTATAATTAGCACCTTAGTGCCAGCTAGTGGTCAGGAGATTAAGATTGTTGATTGGATTATCATCAAAGAAGCCGCCACAGCTGTACGCGTTTTCATTTAACAAATTTAACTATTGTTATTTTCAGGTACCGTGACGTTATCAAAATATGAGTCCCTATAGAAATGTCAATTTCATAGTCAAGAAATGCTTACGTTCACTTTCGTGCATTTTGGCTTTGATGTAAATATCAACATTATTCAGAGGATACTCAATGGCAGACTCGAGAATCGTCGCATTTTGTCTCGTTGGTCGTTCTCATTTTTTTGACCCATGGCGATAAGAGAATTTTAAAAAATAATATCCAAGATGCATTCCTTACTTTGCATGTCGTATGAAGAAGCGACAGTAAACGGAATTCAGCTATCAATAAAATTCTCTTCGAAAAGAAAATTATCGGCCATTTTGTTTATTTCCATTTAAGGCCTATAGATTATTTTTTTAAAGATGATATGAGATATCAAATAATCACCACTTGGATTAATTATTCGGAGTAAATAATGAGTTGTCGACGGCTTTATCATTGACCTGTGACAGTTGATTAGTAATAGTATTACTTAATGACACACACCCACTTGTCGATTAATTTACATAATCAGCCATGTGGTTTCAATTAACACTCAAACGGCAATCTATATACGATCAGAATTAATTTTTTTTCTGCCACCTATCAAAGTGAATCGCATGTAGGTACCCAAAAACATTATCACCAAAACCAAATATTTATCGATAATGCCTTGCATGCGGTGTCTGGGCCTATCAGCAAAAGAGTTGTGTAGACAGCATGGCAACAGCCTGAGTTTATTTATATTTTTTAGGGATTTTAAAACTCGATTGTATCCGTTCAAAATCAATTCGACAATATTTTGATCATATTTGTAAGATAGAGATGCTCCGCTTTACAACGATATCAATTGTTATGCAAGAGGATTGACTGGTCATCCCGCTGCGAGCCAAGAAAAATAACTAATTTCGCCGAGAATTTTAAGAAATAGGACAGATTTAAGAATACTGTACTCTTACAAAACGTTCAACTTCAAATACAGGTGTTTTAAAATGTTTTATTGCTATTTTGATCTTTTGTGTCGATAGATAGTATATTTATAGACTCATTTTTGTGAAAATCTCAATTTCGATCAAAATCAATATTTTCACTTATTTTGTCTTTATCTTATTATTGATACGTGCGCATTTCAACTCATTTAGCTGTGGCCAGTCACATTTTATGGTATCTGTATGATCGTATGGGTTCATTCTGTTTGTTGGTTGGAATCAAATATCATAATTTTAAAAACATTACAAATCAGACTCATTTGAATAAAATATCTGTTTTGAGGGCTAAAAATACAGCTTTTGCCTAAATGACGTCATTTTCGGTGACAGTGAAAATGTTAAATTGGATTGACCTAGTCAAAAGTGGCATTAGGCATCAAATGGGAAAACAAATTTGAATGATAATTGACTCTTTTACAGGCAAATAACGTGAAGAGTGACGCATGCAAAATTGCCTATTTCTCGGCAACTGCACATATTACAAACTAATTGTGACATACATTGTCCTCGTATGGATTAATGCTACAAAATTATGAAAGTTGCGAAGAAATATTTTAAAATATCGATAAATGTTCACACTTGGCGTAGGTGTCTATTAGGTGAATGCCTTAATGGAGTTCGAAGATGAAAATTTTCTGCTTGGGGTAAGCAGAGATAAGAAATTTGATTGGTTGATGCTTTGGGACATGATAACTTTAGTTCTAATTAAGTGAGAGTGAGGACACTTGGTGTATAGCTTTATTACATCAATACCTTGACTAAGTTTGATGATGAACATTTTCTGCTGAGGGTAAGCAGAGCGATAAGCAATTTGATTGGTCAAGACTTTGGAACACAATAACTCTTCTTCTAATTGAGCTAGAATGTTCAAACTTGGTGTGGCGTTCATTAGGTGAATGCCTTGATGGAGTTCGATGATGAACATTGTCTGCTTACGGTAAGCAGAGATAAGCAATCTGATTGGTTGATGCTTTGGGGCACGATAACTTTGGTTCTAATTAAGTGAAAATGATGAAACTCCGAGTATATATTCATTATATCCATAGGCGTACGAGCGGCCGCCCCCCCATTTTGGGCACCAAAAAAGTTATATAAAAAATATCGTGTTCTTGAATGCGTCCAATTTAACAGCGAATTTAAATTCAGAGTGTCTATAGTTAGGCAATTAAATAGAAATCGTAAAGCTCGAACCCTCTATTGTTTGGAGTACAGTAAGCCACGAATTACAGTTACATAAACAACTGTTTTTAGTTGTGTATATTACAAGTAAATAAAATTTAGTTCTCTTTTATTGATGATTTAGAAATTAAGAACTTATTCATCGCAAAAGAGATATTATGATTATTATGTAACATACTAAGAACCTAACTATATTTTTGGGGCACCAACCACCACCGCCCCCCCCAGTAAAAAATTTCCCCGTACGCCTATTATTATATCATTACTTTGACTAAGTTCGATGATGAGAATTTTCTGCTTAGACTAAGGAGCAATAAGCAATTTGATTGGTCAAGACTTTGGAACATAACAACTCTGCTTTTAATTGAGGTAGAATGTTTAAACTTGGTGTAGATGTTCATTAGGTGAATGTCTTGACTGAGTTCAATGATAAACAGTTTGAGCTAGAGGTAAGCAGAGCTAAGCCATTTCATTGGTTGGTGCTTTGGGACAATATAACTTTGATTCTATCTGATAGATAGTGATGAAACTTAGTGTATAGTTGATAATCAGTTTGATTGCTTGATACTTTTCAAAAAAATGAATGTGCTATTTATTAATGTGTGTCATCTATTTATTCAGGGATTTCGGCGGGGGACATCAGCCTCACTGTTGGCTTGTTTTTTTCTTTACACCTGCATCAGCGATCACTCTTGTTCACTCATACTCCCATACATACACACTTCTCTTTATATTTTTGTTTTTCTATAGCTCAGGTTAATTTGTTTCCCATTAATAGTGTTAATACATTGATCTTTATAAATAACAGGATTCCCCTCCTTTTAATCTCTGTAAGAGTTTCTGTTGTGTAGGTGTTGTTGTAAATGGCCCCCTAATCAAAGGTGTTAAGATTTAATTATGTTTGATTCTTATCTTTGTTGCATATTCTGTATATATTTGCCTACTATTCATATACCTGTATCATTTGCTTGTACCTTGTGTTAATATGTTCAATTACTAAATGCCAATCAAAGAAGATATTCAATTTTTATTTAAATTATTTCTGATAAGTAATAACAAATTTATAAACTATGAAATATACAATGGTCCTCACAATAGTTAATTGTCTATCATGATTCACGATAATAAAACTAAAGATGTCAACAATATCTCTTTAATGTCAAGTGATTACTGTCAGGACTACATCTGACACTCAGGCTTATAGATGCCAATAAAGATTTAGACATAATTTAGTGATTTGTATCATTATGTACTTTTAATAACTCCTAATATAGATCATACTTTATTAATTCATAATATACTATTCAAAAAAAGTAGGGGATATTTGATTTTTAAGTGTTATTAAAGTCACCTAATGAAACTGACGAAGAAACAAATAACAAAATGAAATGAAGTTCACATTCATCGATTTATTCCAAATGATCGTTAGACTAAGTAAGGCACAGACTGACCATTATAAGGGTAAAATGATACCCGGGGTCAAACAGCAAAGTTACCACAGCATCACAACCAAGTCAGTAACGGGTAAATCCTCCTCTGTTTGCCAAACAAGCATTGATCCGACGTGGCATACTCCTAATGAGACGTCTAAGGTCATTTTGGTCCAGATTGTCCCATTCCTGTTGCAACGCTGCAGCAAGTTCTTGGACA